GCTTTATGTGAATGTTGACAAGGTGCCTACCTGTCTAACACTTTCCTCCTCGTTTACTGGTTCCAGGAGACTGCCAATTTTTGCTGGGGAACGGGGTGCACTGTCTTAGTGATCGTGCTACGCTCAAAGGGTGGTTCCATCCTGTGTGGAGCGCATTACAGCTGAGCCATCGCCTTGTGTGCGTCTGGTACGCATGATTTCCAAATTGGATAGACAGGAATGCTGTTGCTGTGTATGCTGAAAGCGTGTGGGATGGCTCCATTGATGAAACGTGACTCCAATGCACATGCCTCCCGGTCTCATTCCTTCGGGTTTACACGGGATATGAGTTGTGTGAATGGAGCTGTGGGTGGTGCAGAGCAAGCCACCGATGGTCCACCTGTAGGTGCACGGCTTCTGTGGCTGGCCACAGTGACAGGCAAATCCGAAACCGGATGCCGCCGACCATATATATATATATATATATATATATATATATATATATATATATATGTATATATATATATATACCAAGAGATTGAGTTTGTCTGACCTCTAAATCTTGACCAACCTAGTAGGAGTAGCCCTTAAGAGGCCCGGGGGTACCACTCATTATGGCTCAGTGGATCAAAGAGGTACACGAACCATCGCACCACATTAACGTCCTTTCAAATACATCGCCATCAAGTCGATCACCCTCGCCTATCGTTGCCACTGCTCCCCCCCTTAACACCGCTGCGTGTATCGGCGTACTGCTGATGACTGACTGACCCATATTTTAAGTGTCATGTGTCGGAAAGATCTTCCTCCAACGCATACCCCTTACTCAACATTGTCGCCTCACTCATCCTTCCTAGCATATTATATAGCTCGACTTCCACTTTATTCACATCGTTCGTTCACTTTAGAGTACTCCGCATTACTGACCAGTGCACGGACATTAGTACACTCTGCTCCCTGTTTCCAGGTTTTTCTATATGAGCTCAGTCAATTTTTGCTTACCCGATAGCATGCTGGTTTGAGTAAACGCTTAGCACATTTGGTCCGGTACTATTTCATCTCCAAATATCTTTCTTCCCGGTCGCATTGAGCGATGTCCTGCAATATTCGCATTTCCCACTACGTCCACTTGTATTTCCCTAAACCGCGTGGAGGGTGCGCGAGCAACTCCATCACAGACACTGTCACTCTCCACGCCCTTCAGCCTTGTTCATATGGATAAAAGAATCGACTCTACCCACTCCCAACCCTCATGAGCAGTCTGAACTTTCCTCACCGTCCCGGAATCCAGGCTCAGTGACCATTTATCCTCTTTTTACTCTACCTTCAAGTCTAAATGTTGACGATGCTGCTGACGGTATTCCTCAAGAGAATATACTGCCGACGTTCGACGCTACTCCCGTTACAACTGCAACAAGGAATTCCATAACTTCTGAACGTTTACTTACAGTCGCATAAGCTGTTACGTCCATCTGCAGCTCCACTGGACGCACGTGCCTCGTTTTTGTTAGATATATTGGAGCGCTTTCTGGCGGTGAATGGGTCGAGAGCGATGTTCAGTGACCTACTAGATTCGGTTTATATATCATTTTCAACACACTTGGAGGCATTCAAAACGTCCGTCTGCTCATAGAACCACAATGAATAACTACCAGCGTCATCGATTGCAGTTTCCACATTTGTACCACTTTCGTCGACATGATGCCACTCTAAGATAGACGGCAAACTGTCTATATGCTTTATGACAAACAAATCCGGGGTTTACTAATTATTGGTCTAATTTTTTAACCTCTGGCCCGTACCCTTATGGATTTTGTAATCTGAGGGCGCGCCTTCAAGCTTGCGTAGGGACCAGGCGACCCTATGTGTGGCCCATGTGTGACCGATAGTGGTTGCGCGGCAGTGAAGCGTCGGTGTTGCGTACCGGTGTACTGCTGGTGCCTTGCTTTGCTTGTAGCAGACATCCGTGATACACGTCCCTTGCGAAATCCCAAATTCGAGTTGGTACGACCGGTGTACACTGAGGAAATGCTTCCCGCTCTTCGATTCATAGATGGAGCTGTCTGCGGTGGCCATTGCATTGCTCCGAAAGATGGATCTCGGATGCACCTAATTTTCTTCACTTTTTAACTGTATTATTCCATCTTCCCCTATCAGACCCACTGGAACATTGCCCAGATTACCTTCGTTCCTAAGATTCTCAATCCCTCACGCCACGCAAATTTTTGACCAGTTTGTGTGATCTCATTCCTTACCCGCCTACTTCACCCGCATTTCCTCTTCCCGTAAACCGTCTTCAGTTTGGTTTTCTTCGGAAGGATAACTATTTTGAAGCCCCTGCTTCGTCCTTTTTATGTGATCTTATACCTTTGTCCTTCGCTTCAGTTGACATCTCCAAAGCGCTTAACCGTTTCTCACGATTCTTTAACCCGAGTCGCCTCTTTTTTGGTGCTACATCGTTTCTATTGAGCCATCTGCCTTTCACTCACAACTCCATCACCATTCATCCACGTGGTGTGGAGGTGAAACCCAAAGGGGCCTGCTTTCCCCATTGCTGTTCATCATGGCTTTAGATGAAGTGTTTCACAAGTTTGCATCATCTCACTGGCCTTACGCCGTTGGCCCTATCTCGACTACGTGGCTTAATCTGATGCTGTGATAATCTTTGACCGGGACCGGACGGTTTTCTTGAGTCGTCTAAAATCAACATCATCATCATCATCATTTAAAGCTCTGCTTCCAGACCAGTTTTTTCATGTTTTCTGTGTCATATATCGTAACTTTTTGTCGTCAGTTGTTTAATTCGGTATTATTTTTGATCCCGTGTTGTCTAGTAATACATTTATAACCTTTTTGGCAGTAATTCTCTCGTTCTACTCTGCCTTGCAACTACATCATGAGCTCACCAATGGCTGAGTTAACCGGCCAAGATTTCTTCCCGGCTATTCATACTAAGGATTCAGTTGCGAGTAGGGTCCACCTTCTTGCTCACCTTCTTCAACATCCACTCTTCACTGCCATTGAGGTAGTGGCTAGAAGCAAACGCTATCACACATCTTTCAATCATATGCAATCACACACGATGTTCGCTTAAAAGCATACTTATATCTGGAAACAACTTTTGGCTACAATCCACCATCCAGATTACACCGGAATCCAAAATACCCACTTTTATAAATAAATAAATTTGTATATTTACCGACAGACGGTACACGGCCTCATAAGTGGGAGCGATCATTTGTATAGTGGATACGTTTCATAATAGCAAAGAAAGGTTTATTAATAGCATTTCGGATCATGGTTATTTTTCTTTGGGTCCTAGACCCGTGCAACTCGTATGTAAAATTTACGGATGTTTGTATCTTCAGGAGTAGATAATAAAGGCAAGGACTACTAGGCTGCAAAGACACAGGATTTGGTATGGTATGTACTGACATGTAGTGGGTAAGCTAGCTGTCAATGTTTCTAGTGTTTGCTGTGAGTGAAATATCTTCAAGGCATTTGGTATAGTGAGGAAGGTCTGAAGGAGATTTCGAAACGTGACATAGCTTGTACACATGCATATCTGTAGGGTCTGTTTGTTCCACAGATAATTGTACCTCACTAAGAAGAAATTCGATCGAATTTTATGACTTGAAAGGTTTATACGTATCAAGTAGCCGCCATTACGTGTGAGGTAGGCTGCAGTCTTCCGTAGTTCAAGTGCGGTGCTGTCTGCTTAAATTCGTTGGTTTATAATATTGTAGAAGAGAACGAGGTTGTTCTTTAAGCGTCTCAGCCAAAGTGGATCTAGTTGGAGTTTTCGACAGCGATCATAATAAGTCAGATTTGAGCAGCGCCCCATGACCAGCTTGGTAAATGATCGTTGGACATTTTCCAGAGCCGTTCTGTCTTTCTTTCTCAATTGGCTGTGAACGATAGTACAATATTCCAGAGTCGGTCGTACTATTGTCTTGAATGACTCAAGACAAACCCGACCTGTTCACAGTCAAGGGGATTATCGCATATGTTGTGGATGTTGCTACCTGCGACGCAGACTGCATGAGATGAGCCTACAAACTGATGCTAAACAAATATTGTGTCGGTCTGTATGCAGAGGCGATCTCTAGATATGTGCTGTCACAGTTTCCGTAAGGGTCGAACATTATCCACAAGCCTGTGATTTTAAACTACCGCGGAATTATTAACCCCGCTACAGCGAAACATCTCATGTTCCTGGGTCTTTCGCGGTTCAGCATTACGCATCTGTGTCTCCACTATTCGCGGGACACTGAGCATATATGATTCGTAAATGTGGAGAGCCTCCTCCACACAGCTCACACACAACACCCAAACACATTAACTAACTTGGTGTGCAGTTTCGTCCTTACCATATAATTCTTTATTCCGCATTACTGTCTCAGTATTTTGCCGGGACGTTGCCATGCTTTAGTAATTTGTTTTAAGCCCCGACCTTGGACCATTTATACAACATTTCAACAAAAGTGCTACTACTTAACTTTTTGCGAAAACTATGATTGCCTTCTAAAACCTGTGACATCTGTGGCGTCAAAAAGGTTTTCCCTTCGATCTGAAAGGCTATATCTACAATGCCACAATGAGGGCGATCCCACTGTATGGTGTTGTGATACTCCCCCTTCAGTCTAAAGTTGTCGTTGCCTGCGGGGCACTGCTGGTGTCGGATGGCACCAACGTGTCTGCAACGATGAAGCGGTGCAGTCGGCCATCTGGGTCCGGTTATTAAGTCAGCTTGGCACTTACTACGCTGCATGTCCTTCATTCAAATCCTTTCCTGCTATCGGCTGCAATTCCCCATCCTCCTACCGCTTTCTGTGACATGCAAGTGCTTATCAATTACATCGACCTCTTTTCGCTTTCCCATTTTTCATATAGTTGCAACTCCACATGGCACACAGCATTTTTGGAAATTGATTTCCAACCCTGGTGGTTTTCTTGTTTGTCTTTTTTGCCCACTATACTTTTTCTTTCCATTGCTAACGGAGTGAATGTCGTTTTTTTAGACTGATAACAGTGTGCTTCGCACTTTCGGTGACTGTGCTCGCGAAAAGAAGTATTCACACGTGGATCTTGTCACTTTGGTCGACGGATTCGATGGTGAACGCGGAACCCTTGTTTCCGGTGCCCGGGGCTACTACTTGAAGGTAGGCGTTCTAAACTTACTTCCTCTTTTCTCTCTAATGTTCTTTTTCTTAGTGTTTTTCTTTATCTTTTCTCCAACGTGTTTCTCCTAAGATTATATACTTGCTACTACCTGCTATTCATTGCTGATTATCTTTTGAGGCACCGAGTATGTAATGTTGACTCGCGGTGCGTAGACATTTGTAGACAGGTGACTTGTTTTTTAATGCGGTCATTGTAGGTACCGGATGTTTAGCGTTTGACTGGTGTTCCCGTTTCTACTCACATTGGCCATTACCGTCCTGCCATCCACTGATATGTTTTTGTTCGCCGTTTTGCAAGTTTCGTTTGCGCCTAACTCCGTTCTTCATTTTTGAACAGGACATAAGGTTGTAGATGACTAAGAGTTGGCGACTGACGTTACTCTATAATCTCACGAGTGGAGAACTTCTGGTGCAAATTTCGTGGGAGTTCGCGCAGCAGCTTCCATGTCAGATAATCTACTACCAATCTGGAGAGGTATTAGACGGCTCCTTCGTCTTGTTGGGATTCACTGGTGCGTACCGCCGTCACCGTCACGAACCGAGACCGACACTAGCAGCTTGTGCCACCAGGCACACCACTGCTGTGCCTCAACTGGGGCTTTTCCGGATGCGCCGTCGTCAGCTATCTGACTTGGAACCTGTTGCGATGACCTCCCGATAAAATTTACACTGTTGTTTCTTTTATTGCTGTATCCTTCGACCTATTGTATCTTGGAATCAAATCACACAGCCACCGCTGTATTTCATAGGCCTGAATATATCTTATCGATCTAGTCTTCGAGGCAGAACTAGGCACGCTCTTATCATATCCCCATGTCAAGCTTCTCATTTCTAGTAACAAACAGCGGCGGCATTGACAGCGTCCGCCGGGATTCATCTTGTTCTCAGATTTCAGGTCATTGCGCCATCGCCCGATTAAAACCTAATGTGCGTTAAGGTAATATGCGAACATCTTTTATGCTAATGTTTTGTTCACACCTTTCGCATCGTCTGGTATGTATTGTATTCCTACTTGGGTTTGCATACCTCCGTGACCCATTGAGTCACGCTGGTTAGCACTCTTACCAAACGGGTCATGGTTAGGGGTTAAACTAACTCTGAACATCCCCTTTGTAAGTTTGAGAGAGATCGATGGCCCACTTCCTTTTAAACAGCCATGCGAGACAACAGGTCCACTGGGTTATAAGCTCCCAGCTCGCTTGGCGTAGAGCACGACCGCCACGCATTTCCTTTGACGGTAGGAGGGCGCCGCCCAGCGCTCAGTGGTTTACTACCGTCCGCTTCAAGCCAAGCAGCCTCTAGACAAACTTGTGCAAACTCGCCAACGTCCACATGTCGCTGGCTGTCGTCGCAGTTGCGTAACCTACTACGGTCGAACAACACATGTATCTTTGTGAATATTCTTAGGCTGTGTGTGACAGGCCTAGAGGTAGCGGACTTGTCTCGTAAACTTGTGTCGTGGGTTCGAATCCGCGTAGGGGTGGGAGTCCTCACGGTATACTCAGCTCGCGTGCGACTGGTGGTGGTCTCACGGCAGCGAAACGCCGTTACGGCGTACAGCTGACACTATTATTATTATTATTATTATTATTATTATTATTATTATTAAGTACCAGTTGTCTCTTTAATCACAATCCCTAGCTCGACTTCTTGCCCACTGCTTTGTGGATTAAGCTATTGAGCCCAAGGCTCTGGATGGAATCCCTCAGTCGAACCTCCGTGTACGCCACTTCTCTGGGAATCCGACTTGAGTCAGAAGCACCTCGAACTAACCTGCCTGTCAGAATAGTTAGCCGGAGAGCATCATCTGCCCTCAGCCTCGTCCACAATACTCCATTGGAGACGCTTCCACGGACAGCCGTATTACTCCCCTTGTACATTTGACTATATCTACCTTTGTTGTTATTCCCAATTTATTAATCTTTCTAATTCATTGAACTTGCCAATCGCTTCAAAAATCTGTTTGAGTACGACTGTGAAAATCACGAGCAGTTGTCTGTCTTATACTGATACTGATACTGATTAGAAGCAGCGAGGAGAGTATACTCTGTGTAGCTGCATCAAATGTCGCTCTTGGACATCAACATATTATTTATCGTTCCGCTCTTCATATTTTGCCTCTGCGAAATGTTTGTCTAGAAGCTTCTTAAATTCGGCCACTGAATTCGCCTCTATTACCGGCTGCGGCAGGTTGTTCCAGGTATTCACCACTCTACGTTCGAAACAGAGTTGGTGAGCTACCCGCTTCAACTGCGGTACGATAAGTTTGTACCGGTGTCCTCGCGTGCCACTTGGTGTGCGCAGATGAACCAGTTGTCTCAACATGGGTAATCACTCAGATGTACTATCCGGTGCGTCATGATGAGGTCAACTCTCAGCCGAGGATATGCTAGGGTGTACAGCCCTAGTTTCTTACATCGGTCTTCATATGGCGTACCTCGTAAGTTGGGAATCATCCTAGTGGCTACATGCTGCACCCGCTCAAGCTTTTCTACCTCGCTGTGCATATTGATCAGACCACTCACTTGGGCTGTACCTCGCATCGTCGATGAGTAGCGTACTTTAACTGAGAATTCGTCACAGCAGCTTCCAAATCGCGTAGTCGTCTACATACCCAGAAATGCACTAGACTGCTGTTTCAACCCTTTGGGCATCACCAGTAGTGCGCATCTACCGGATCCATCAGCATTCGAACCCATAACCACTAGCACATTGCACCGTCAGTCATCCGCTTATGCCACTAGGCCATGGGGGAAATCGGCGGACCGTCATAATTCACGGGCTAACTGCAACATAGCGTGTCTTATCCGCCTTTACCATGCAACTTACGAACGTTGTAGAGGACAGGGCTGGCCCAGAAAGATACGACCTCCACTGACAGTAACTATGCACAACATAGCATTTAGTAATTGTTATGGCAAATATTTTGCTATACTCATGAATATATGCTTTCGATCTAATTACTTGAGAGTTCGTCGCAACAGGTTCCAAATCGGATAGTCGTCCGCATGCTCGGAAAAGTACTAGACTGTAGTTTCGACCTATTGGGCATCATCATCAGTGCGCATCCATCAGTATTCGAATACACGACACTGCACCTTGATTTCTCGAAAGCCTTTGATCGTCTTGATCACAACCTCCTCCTTTCCAAACTTCAGAGCTGTCGAATCACCGACCCATCCAGAGTTGGATACGTGCATTCCTACTTGAACGTCACCTAAATGTGTGAGTTCGTGGCGCCTTATCTGACCCGATAGAAGTGCAATGTGACGCCCCGCAAGGCTCAGTTCTAGTACCGAGGCTTTTCCTCGCCTTCATTAACGGCCTCGTTGGAGTGATCGATCCAAACATTTCACATTTCGCGAACGATCTCAAAATCTGGCGGACTATCAGGACGGGAATCGACAACATGACACTACCACCTGATCTCGTCAGGGATCACGATTAGTCAGTTCGGAATATGCTGGAGTTCAACGCTGCCAAATATCGAGTACTGAGCATACGCCACCAGAAAACTTACGCATACCGGCTAGGAGAACATCTTTTACAACCTCTCTCCCATGAAAATTATCTTGGAGTGTTCGTGCAGGCCGATCACAATTGCTCAAAACAGGCCGAAAAGGCAACACGAAAAGCCAGTCAACACTTGGGTCTTGAGGAGAGCGTTTGGTCAGTTTGGTCTCACCATCTTTTCACAAATGCTCAACGCTCACGTGAGGCCACATGTTGAATACGCCACCCAGGTCTGGCTCCCCTGGCAAAAGCCTGATCTTGTTGCTCTTGAGACTCCACAAAGAAGAGGAACAAAATGTTAAGAGCCTGACTCATCTCTCTTACCAGCATATAGTACAAACCCTAGGAGCTTTCGATGGTCAACACCGTCGTCTGCGCGATGATCTTGTTTTGGTGTTCCAGATCCTAAAGAATCCAAACCACGCATGTCGACACTTATTGAAATTAAGTCACAACACCTCACTTCAAGGTCATCACTTGAAGTTTGCCACACAGTACAGCCGGCTGGAATATCACCGGCATTTTTTCTCATTTTGTGTGTCCCAATGGTGGAATGGTGGTAATTCTGTTTCTAGACATGCACCAATCATGCGACCGAGTACCTCACAAGCGGTTGTCAGAAAGTTGGAGGCCTTTGGGATCTGGGATTCATTACTAGGTTGGGAATTGTCAACGCATAATCTGATAATCAAGCATTCTGCAATAAACTATCATGACCGTTACACTTCTGTGTCGGGTTGGCGTGCGTCACCTTTGTCGATGGATCTTCTGGATCATGCACATCAACAGCCCTGACTTCCATCGGACATGGCGCAGTCAGAGCATGAAATGCTCTCATTTGATCCTTTATCTTCGATTGTTCCTTCTTTTGCCTACCGATTTTAATGTTTTTTGATTAATCGCTTACCCTATTATTCCTTTTGTCATTTCGTGCCCCTTTTGGTTGTTGTCTTAATGGCATCTTAGACCCTGGCACCCAGACCCACATCATTTCCTTGCCCAGATCATGATATCTGACCACCCGAACTGGCTTTTTTAGGGCGATTGAATTCGTATACTACATTACATTCGATTTTAAAGTTCTCCATCTTTCTTCTTATCCTCAGTTTTTCCTTTCAGGGTCCGCTGGTGTTTCTGGAACAGGCCATTATTCAATTGGCGCTCAGGATGCTGCAAGAACGCGGCTTCACTGCGCTGTATACTCCGTTCTTTATGTGCAAGGATGCCATGCAAGCGGTGGCACAACTAAGTCAATTCGATGAAGAGTTATACAAAGTGAGCGGTTGGTCACATTTTATTTATTTTATTTTATCAACCCGCATTTTGTTGAAGAGTGGTTCCATAATGATTAACGGTAATAAGAATGGCCCTCTGGTTGTCTTGATGTGTGTACCAGCACTCGGGTTGCTTCACATTGCACCGTTCGGATGGCGTTGGCAGCTTATTCCATACACACCCCATTTATTGCCGCCACTCAGCCAGACGAAGCTCTGTACATCCCCTGCCGCATTTAGCGATAACTCAGGCACAGGCCCATAGACGCTGAGCCCTACCAATCAAGTGTAACTTCTGTGTCCGGTTACTTTCATTGAATCAACTATGATCTTATCACCGAATCGCGGTTGACTTAATTGAATCTAATCACTTTACTTAGCTTACTAAATGAGTTAAAACAGTCCGAAAAAAGCAGACATTGATGAAAACCACATCGGTTGAGCTCGATAGGACGTTCTCATCACGGGATGTATCACACCCCTAAATCTAATGGAGGATAATTTAGGGGAAGATGAAGTCGTTTCGAAAATGTGACCTATCGAAGACACAGAATTGATCAATCAGCCGAGTGAACTGGTTCACTGTCTCAGTCAGTACTTACATATATTTGTCTGAGACCTGATACCTATCTGGCTAGGGCTTTACAGAGGAGTAGAATGGGAATGAAAAACAAATAGGCTAGAGACCTTTAGGCCCATTAAGCACTCTATTAGCGAACCCATGAGATTCTTTTGAAATCCGCTGAGACTTTCTAAACCGAGAAATAACAAAAGATGCTCGTCTGGTCAGACAGCGTCACACCCGACTCGGGTCGGATGCACTTACGGCTTTGTGCCTCATTGAGTTCTGCAGCAGTGACATTCGGCGAGTTATTCGTCCCCAGTACAGATCTTAATCTGCCACAGGTTCTTGCGGCTCCCCTCACCATTCATTTCTCGCTATCCGATTGTTGGCTTTATCCGAGAACCGCAGTCGCTACCTTGCTAAGAGCTCACTTATCGATACAGAGCACTCTCGAAAAATGCCTGAATGGTTAAATTGGATTTAGGATTTGATTCCGGCAAAGCAACGATCAATGGAGATCAATCTTCTGGCCGAGGTGAATGCGATCTGCTCAGGATCACGTGGTCTGCTTTTTGCAATATTGACCAATGGTGAGACGGCATCGCGAAGAGGCTGAGTCGTAAGATGGCATTTATGATACTGCAGGCATGCCTCTCTAACATGCAATACGATAATTATCAAATCTGAAAGTCTAACTACTGGCTATGGCACTTCACTGTTCCGCTGTTTTACGGTTTGTAACCTGTGGTTTCCCAGTTCACGCCGCTCCAATATTTTTAGACCCAACATACCGATATCGAAGCTTTGAACCTAGTGGGTTTTTATGCGTGGGATTGGCGAGGATGTGGTTTATCTGCTCTACGAAATGGGAGTCTATCTGTTCCGCTAGATTCAACGGTAAACTTCAGTTGGGGGTGTGTAACCGTACATCTCTATTTTTGTTTATCTAGTTAGTAATTGGCCTCTAGCTCATGTTACAAAGTTAGCTAAAGAAGAGGATTCGCCCCCTTGGCAACTAGCGTTTTGCCTTTTTCTCTCGTTGTTTGAGTTCTGACTATTCGCGCACCCATCTATGAGGCTATGAATATATGTTCGTTCATGCATATGAACTACGGTTTCGCTGCTCGGTCGATTGTATCATGCCACCCCGCATATGAGTTGTGCCATTTATTCGCATTACACATTTCGACCGCTTTTCCATTATTTGCACTACGATTGTGGCGGAAAAAGTGCCGCTGATCACCATAAAGGCAGCCAGTCACAGACCCCATCCATCTTTCTTACGGTACGGTTTATTGCATTGCTGCTTATGTAATCCCGTCATTTATCTCCACTGTTTAACCGAACTGCTTCTTTGGCCAACCATTTAATGCTTCATGCAACCAGTCTACTTGTGGTACTTTGTATTTTCCTGACCGTCCTTTGCAAACATCAGGTTGTGGGACGCCGTGAAGGTGTCGTCAAGAAGCCAGGTGAAGCAGCGAGCAATGCAGAAGAGGAGAAATACCTCATTGCAACATCCGAACAACCCATAGCTGCGTTTCATCGCAACGAATGGTTACCGCTTGACCGTCTACCAATTAAATACGCTGGTATTTCCACATGCTTTCGCCAAGAAGTTGGCAGTCACGGTCGAGACACTCGTGGCATTTTCCGTGTTCACCAGTTTGAGAAGGTATGTCACTGTGTCCATTGGTTTCTGTTATCGTTGATCTAATAGTGTGTCGGTCCATCGATTAAGTGGGGTGGCCACCCCTCTGTATGTATTTCGCCGGACGTCTCTTCCGATGCAGCTCAGTTGTATTGGCCGGTACCCCTGGGAGATACCGTTCAATGACACTTAATCGTTTTCGTCACATTTTCCGGGCGATGCAGTAATGGGCTACTGGGCCGTTTGAGGGCCAAAATGTGGCCTTATATTGAATGACTCACTAGTCGCTCGGTTGATTAGCGTAGATGTCATTGTAACCGTTGGCAATCGTAAGTTTACTTCCAACAGTGAGACCACTTTATCAATCGGCACACCTCATTACACTGCCTGGTTCAAAATCGGACCAAAATCTTGCGTGAAATGCAACCGTTTGTGCTTCGATTTGGTGCTATTTTGCTTGCGACAGGTGTGCGCGTCTTTCCGATGAATGTACGTCTGCACTTTTTTCATTGTACGGTGTACCCCATTTTCATTCGATTCACCTTTTGTGCTGACTCCGGTACAACAGATACGGGGAATTCATTCCTCAGAGCTACCATTACAGCCCACTTAAGGATTGCATATCTTTTTGACCATGCAGCTAGGACTGTGTACAAGGTACCTCAATGGCCTTCTTGCTGTGAGTTTCTTTATCCCATCCCATCCCCCTTAGCCTCCCCCTCCCATCATGATCTCATTATATGGCATTTTATAATTTCGCATAGTAAATCCATTTTTTCTGCCTCATAGTAGCCGGCACGTAGCTTACCAAAACGATGCCAATCCGTTACCGGTACTTCAGCTGGCTTGCACCTGCTGCATTTTATTCCCCTTTTTCTTTTAAGTATTGCGGCACAGTAGCTGAGTTGTTTCCCACCTCTAGCTAACGTGCATTGTGTGTGTGTTGTGTGACCTGTGGATTAGAGAGCCAAACAAAGGAGTTGTTGCTTCGCAGCCTCCGGGACTACTTCGATTCAGGACACGTACACGGCGGTTTGCTCCCAGAATTAACAATAAATGTTGCTTCACTACTGCAACCAAGCACTTTGCTAGTAAACACGAACATCTCTTACACTTAACACGCTATAGCTTCAAGGTGCAAAATACGTATATGATCGTTTGAGTTTTTGAAGTACAGCCGCAGCGGTACTCAAACGGTCCCGTCAGCTTCACCAAAATTGGGCCTATGGTCTTTTAAGCTCACACCTGATGCTTATGCAACATTACAGACCGACGGGATCCATGTAACCTGCTTTCGTCACATCTCTGCTGCCGTTGCCACACTGTCCTGTTTCACTGCATTTGACCAAGTTGCTCGTGGCTACCCCGAATATTCCATAGGTCGACTTACCAAAGTTCCCCTTTAATCCCCGATTTTAATCACTATTTATTTGCCATTTTCAACCAACATTTTACCAAGTTCAGTTGCCTGATTCAGCCCTATGTCAAGGAAGATCCGGTGTATCCCACTTAACATCTTTCACGACTTTTTCAACTTAGGTAAATAAGGCGGGAATATTCAGTTTTGGAACATGCTTTTTCAGCATTATATATTGCTACAAGTGCAGCACAATAAAGATGAATTGATAAGTGGAAAACCAGCATAGCATTAATTGGCCGATTACTTTTCGGACGATTTTATTAGCGTCCATCGAAAATCGCGTTGGACAAAAGATAACTGCCAACCGTATGCTCGTGTTCGAGCATGTATGGGCTTGTAGTCCTTTCTGGTTGACAAGCTCGACACACATTCCGATAATGCACAATCATTGACTTGCAGGAACTAACATGTTTGAATACAGGTATATCAACAAAAGTCAGCTTTGTTACACCTCTACATCGCGACAAACGTTTTAACGACCTGGAGATTAATCTAAGATCCTTGCCCAATAGATCAAGAAAAATTACTGGTGAGCAATACCTCCAGTGTGGAAGAATACAAGCGGTGACAAAGCGATCAAATCATGAGGGACAGAGGAAGCTCACACGTATGAGACTGAAATGATAACCTCCGGGCTTTTGTACTCTTCATTTATATGCTGTGACCAATATTAATCGTAGTTAAACGTGGCATTCAGATGCGTCACTTATCTGTAGTAGTGCAACCCCTCACTTGCTAATCTCTTGATCCCGATCTCCTTTCTGTAGTGCAAAACGATATAAGTGCACTTTGACACGTTGGACAATAGTCCGCGAGTTTTCGACCAAAGCATGAGATCTTTAAGAATATCCCATAGTTTCACTGAACAAGCAGTGGTCGGTTGATTGATGCCCATGGCAGCGTCGTCTGCATACTTCAGCAACGTATGGAGCTCATATTAATAGTAAAATAGATATGGTGACAGAATGGCTCCTTGAAAAACACCCGTGTTTGTGATTAGGTATTGAGGAGCTTTTGCCTCCAAATCAGGTAGTCTGAGTACGACTGGTAAACTAATTCCTCAAAATCTTTTAACAGCGGTTCACGATGTACGCAGCCAAATGAGTTGCTATAGTCCAGGAAATCGAATTCGGGTGAATTTGATTCTCTTCCAGTGATGACAGAACCGAGTGCACAAGGCAGATTACTGCGTCTTGGGCTGCGGCGTACAAACCGAAGAGAATCATTTGACCGTTTTTGTCCAAACATCTCATGAATGATCTGTTCGAACATCCTTCAAGCTACCGAAGCACAAGCAATCGGTCGATATTTGCTTCTTTCTTTCTTTGGTGTAGTCGTGCTACTGACACTTCTCTAGTAGTCAGCAATTCTATGTTGTTGGGTGCACAATACATCTAAAGTAGCCAGAGGTTTGGCCAGTAGTATGTCAGCACATTCCTAGAGGACGATGGGAAACTGTCTGGTCCACTTGCTTTCCTTGAGTGAAGGTGTTTTAGTAACATCCGCACGGTGCCGCTCTCGACAGTGGGCAGTGAGTTTGCAAATAATTTAGGCTGGGCAACGGATCCGATCGATGTAGCAGCTTCAGAAGTCATGGTTCAGTTTTCCCACATCTACTTTGGAGGTTGATGTACGTCGATTTGCCCTACTTTGTCGTTTTAACATCCTCCAGAGTTCACGACAACTACTACTCCCGATTATCACTTGAACATACATGTAGGTGAGACTGCGCAACTCCTCCTTTATAAGGATAGAGATTGACTTTACTTAAATGCTGTCTTTTCCTTTCAGAGTTTTCTCCTTATGTCTACGTAGCCGCTTCAGGTGGGGAGGTGGTGAAGAGAACATGTCCTCACGGATGAACAGTGTTTCGCGTGGACAGAAATTGGCAGATCAAAAGTTCAGGCAACATGTTAGCTGGTGTCAAGATGTAGCTACGTCAGTGCCAAAAAATAAACTGAGGTCGTTGGATGATATCATTTCTCGCAGTCGATCAATATTCTGTGCAGAACACCACCTGAAGTTGCGGTCGTTGTAACAAGTATTCACCGTATGGACACGACAGTTTAATTGCTGATTGACCAGATCTACCTTATGTTACACACAAAGAACAGTTTCCTCTTGTTAACAAATACTAGATCAGGAGTTGCATTAGATCTACTAGCACAATTTACGATGTTTCGCAGTCCTAGACTTGTAAGAAAAGCGGTGTCAAATCAGCTGAACTCACTAGCAAAAATACCTAGTAAACAATCGAATTGTTCTGTTACAGCCGCAGTAAACTTGTCGTAAAATGCCTCTGCTTCAGGTTTCGGACAGTTTGGGGAAATGTAGACGTTAGCCAATAAGATTGAGCGGTACCCACTGATACATCTCGGCTTATACCACAGAACTGAGCAATTAATACTTTGAGAAGAGAAGGAAAACAAAACTTTCGTGAACGCACACCGGCAAGTGTTGGTATAGACGATGACTCCACCGCCACGGTTACGGTAGCCATCAAGGCGGTCGACCCGATGGTAATTGAACACTCTTCTACCGATACAATTGCGTCATCAACCTCCTCCTCGTGTATCGAAATGATGCCTACCTGTTAATATTTTCAAGACTTGACGGTGCTTGTTAACATCGATTGTCACCAGATGCGAACGTATATTTGAGTTAAGTAAGATGGGTATGTCCATACTCCCCAATTTTTTCTTCCGAAGAGTAACTCTCCACTCAGCGCAATGTTTTCTTGCACGTTTATTGCGCTTTTGGATTATTTTCTGTTTATTTCCTACAACTTAGCTGTTGCAATAAGCACAATTTTTATACTAGGAAGGGCAGCTTTCTCCCAGTATGGCGCGTGTAGGTTAAATTGCTGACAATTCAGAATCATGAATACAACCTGAAGCACCGTCGTTTCAGTAAAACCAAGAGCATGTGTGTTAACGATTTCACAGAATAGAATCGTAGAGCACGGCCAAATTTGAAGGTCTCGTCTGTTCCTTAGTAACTGGGAATTTCGCATTTAATTATCAAAAACAAAAGACCGAAGGTAAATAATTGTTTTCGACGATTCATCCTCAGACCCGTACAATCATTTGGGTGAAATAGAAATGGGCGTAAAAGTGGATTCGATCAGTTCCAATGAGATTCGATCACGTGCCGACCAAGAGCATAAACCAGCAACAAACAACAAACTAGGACAAAGGTGTAGTTGGACAATTACAGTTGCCCTCAGAAGGGTCCGTTTTGTCTGGCCAAGGTAACTTAACGGCTTTGATCAGCTTCTTTTGTGCACACAAAAACGGTTGATACAGCCGAATGCTGATCGGCTCGGCAGTAGCAAGCGTGCGGCGGCGCAGACCTTTCGACTGGAGTGTATAGTATTCGAAATGCACGGATTGGGTCAACCTCATGCCCACTATAAACAAGATGAGCCATAACAGAGTTACTTATAGCCCCAGTACCGCCTCGACGCAACAAGCGTGGTATGTGCTCCTTAATGCGCTCCGACAGTTGCCGCGCCGTTCGGTCGATGTAACTAGCGCCACAGGCGCATTTGAAATTGTAAACGACCATAGAAGTGGTCAGTGTCGCCAACTTTGTTGTGGATACGAATGAGTGGCTCCGTTGAAAAGATACACCTAGGCTTGGCTGCTGGGAAAGTTGACTTGACAGCTTTTGAAAGGCTTCTAGTTACACGCTCAGCAGCAGCGTCCCCCTTGAAAGGTAGTCATATGAAAAGTTATTTCTTCTCTGCTGTCTGAACTTGCAGTAGGTCGGGCTTGTCTTGCATGTTCCTAAGAATGAAACAGTCAGGATATCCGTTTTCGCCCAGCAAATTCTGAATGTACGTCAATTCATTATCCAACGTGTCTTCAGCACAGATCCTACGGAGCCTTGTGGTTAGACAGTGAATTAGCTTTCGCTTATATCTCAACGGAACGAAACTGTGGAAGTTCGTATACTGGCGGCTCCAGGTTTTCTTCTTATAGACCTGCCGTTGGATCGAGATGTTTGCCCTTCTAGTTAACAGGACATAAAGCAACGCAACTGACCGTTCAATTCTTTCTCTTAGGTAAACTGCAATTCTGCTTGGGCCGGATTAAAACCATCAATAACAGCGTCAAGGTCAACAGAGTGATCGGCCATGATAAGTATTTCGTCCCTATAGCGGTGGTAACATTCAAAGGCCGTGAGCTCCGCATGTAGCTTGGTATTCTCTAATTCCGCCATGAAGATATCATCTAACAATGGACCCAATGGCGATCCCATAGCTACACCATCCTTTTGTCGATAGTACATGCCACTGAATAAGAACTGTACGTTCCAAGTGCAACGCAACAGTAGGCTTTTCAAATCCCGCAATGGTATGCACATCTTTGTTTATGTTTTTTTATGTAGAAGCAAAGATAATCGATTGTCTCGCAAACTGTCACGTTGCTGAAAAGCGACACAACATCCAAGAACAACACTACTTTCTTACCGATGTTGCGGTCTTTGATGCCTTCAATGAAATGAAAGTTGTCACGAAGGCTGTAATGTAAGTAGGTGTGTAAGTCGCTGTCTTACTGCCTCTGGAATTTCCACAAGCCATTGGGTGACGGCATGGTAGAGTGAGTTAGGCATTGATAAGATCGGGCGAGGCAGGACATCTGTCTTATGAATTTTCGGTAACCCATAAAGCCTCGGGACATTCCTGCCACTCGGCTTAAGGCTATCATAAAGTGTATTTGATATATGTCCAATATTCCGTTCAGTTCACTTGATTTCAATCCAAACTCCCTATGCCGGTTTTATTTCCGATATTTACGTGTTCCAGTTAGAAATTCTCGTTTCTTTTGGGAGCATATTGATTGGTGGAGTGTGTGACTTCAAACTACCTACCGGATTTGGTAACTGCTCATTGCTGTGTGTATCGTGACTATGTATTATGTATGTAACTGAATTTGGAAACGATGAATGTTTCCCATTATTATTCCACTTCAATCTAAGTCAATTTGGCTAATCAATCGTCCTCCGAACGAAGATGACATCATACTTCTCGTGTTAGTGGTGCTAAACATTGGCAAAAGTGGGAAGCAATAATTGATGAAAGGCGATGCAACAAACGGCGAGAGCCTTAAGGTTATACCATTAGGATGAGCGTTGTACTCGGAAATACGGATTGCCAGCTAAAAGCTAGGGGCAGAAGCAAAGCGTTGCAGTCTCCAAATGTTACCTGTGTAAATGTGTATTCCACAATACTTCTACTCGTTCAATGCATGAAGACGCTCCCCTGTTTGTTCCAACAAGATGCGCTTGGATGGTCAGTCAGAGCGTACGAATTTTCCGCATTTAGATTCTGCTCTCCCCTACACTGATCGTTAACGCCAGTGTGTCATGTTGTAAACTCGTCACCAGACGTGCAACTAGTTTTGGTTTCCAATTTTAATTTTGTTGTTATTGTAGCTCTCTATGCGGTTCCGGTTGAAACAATTATGTCCACCCCCGCCAGCTTCAAATCTCAATCAACTCAAAAGTCAATGACCTCGATGCTAACGTATATTGAATATGCAGCTACGGAAACGATGCAGTTTGAATTCAATGCGTATTATTTATAGGTTAACCCAGAAATGTCCAACCTCTGGAATGGCTATTAAAATAGACGAGAGGGCAGGTGCATGGGTCACCTGACGGGATTGAATATTTGTGAAACAACTTGATACTTCTAATAAACATTCTCCCTTCCAGTCGTTTCCTCGTTGGACTAACGGATTTTCTTGGGATATTCTACTTCCTTCCAGACACGTACATTTCTAGTATTATGTCCGTAAGTTGACCAAAGTGGTCAACATAGAGATGTGTAGATCCGTAAGATTTACATAGTGAATATTCAAGCAGTAGAAAAGACGGTCAACTTAGAGGGCTTGTCACGGTAGACTTAGTCTGCACTGCACTAATTTTGACCACTTTGATTATTTTTCCATTTTCGGTGGTTCATCGTCAGGCCAGCTGTCACACGGACAGCTCCCTTGTGAACGACACACCCATTATGGGCGTTTTGATAACTCCATTTTTAGCTACTCAATTCACCGCTTCTTATCTCAACTATTTAAATGTGTTGCATTTGGCCTGACGATGAATCGCTGAAAACGAGCCTGTTTGATAGACCATCTTTTCATGACTGAGACGGACATTATTCACTATTTTCCATTTATTTTTTCTTCTGGTTAACTTGAAAGCATTCACATTCGATGCGTTGCTCGCCCTACCCGTAAGTGGGCTCGGATTGGGGCAACTGAATTACTGGATCACCTGTACCGTTGAAGCCAATTTCTTTCTTTCTTTCCGCACCCTACACCATTTATTTATGCCCGAACGCATATCCCATTGAATCTTAACAACAGAGCAATTCTTGATCATGCCCCATTTCCATAGTTAGACTTTTAAAAGCAGTTATCGACTCTGCTTTGACCTTTATCACACACCGCTGTTTCAGGTGGAGCAATTCTGCATCACAAGCCCACACGACAATTTGTCTTGGGAGATGTTCCACGAAATGATCGCAAACGCCGAGGCTTTTCATCAGGTGAGTGCTGCAGTCTAGATTGTATAGGTGCGTTGTGTTTTTTGCAAATGTGAAATCCAAACGTGAGATAGGCAAGCAAATTACAGTTCCGCAAACCTGAATAATATGTGTGAATCACTTGTCGCACATCTGGTACACACCCACATTTCTGCTAAGCAGATTGTCTACGGCACTTCTGGCACCAATCGTGCTGAGTATACAGATTCGTCATCGTGTGCACAACTCAGAGCGCTTTTAGATTTCTTATCAGGCAATATAACGGTAATCTCAGGGGTATTCACGACTGCCATGTTCAAATAATTTTTATTCTCTTCATATCTAATACGCAGCTAGTGCCTGCGAAACCAGGGAGCTAGAAGCATTACCACTAATAGAAGAAGCGAACACAGTCCAGATCGTTTTCCTAATTTGAGCTCCTTTGTACACCTCGTTCGAGCTGGTGGAGTTCGGTCAGTAGCGGAGACTATTGTTATGTACCAATTGAGATAACACAGCACTTCGAGGGCTATCCGATGTTGTCTTGATTATGGTCCCTTGAATTACGTATGCAACCATATGCTGCGTTGATACTTACTCATAACTTTGAGTTTGGATCGCATCCCTCCCCCTCCCACCCCCGCATGTCACAGGCACTCGGAATACCTTACCGGATTGTATCCATCGTGTCTGGTGAATTAAACAATGCAGCCGCTATGAAGTATGATCTAGAGGCGTGGTTTCCCGGTTCCCGCGCCTTCCGTGAGCTGGTCTCCTGCAGCAACTGTACCGATTACCAGTCGCGCCGTTTGGCCATACGGTATGGCCAAACGAAAAAGATGAACAAAAACGTGAGCCCCATTTTTTGCATCATTCGCACAGACAGTACACCCTCTCATTAGGGTGCGATACTTCACAGAATAAGATTGTGGCTTGTTCTGGTTTGTGCTGCTTCAACTACTGAGATGTGATTTCATCTTACGGAGCTTTTCGTTTACCATTCCTCATCCGTTTCACTATCCCATGTGGTCAGGATGTATCCACTTTGATACAACTTGTTTCACGCTACTCGCTATTGGATTCTACGTCTTCAGATGGTCAACCACTTGCTGTGTTGTACGAGTCTACTATTTAGTTCATCTAGCCAGTCAACTTTGAGTACCGTGGACGCAAGCCCATTGTCAATCACTAGCAGGCGTACCACAACAACTGGTTGATACGAGGAAAACAGATCAGTTTGCGGTGCACAAAACTTTTGTTGGCGATCATTCACAGTCATAGGAGTTCCACATTGTAAGCACAGTGCAGCCATCTTGATTCGGCGGTGCTAAAACTGACCGCAACTGGTGGCTTTAATCGCATAGTCGACGTCATCTTGTCAAGTTGATTGTAGGCCCGTCGTCAATCTCATAGAAATTGTAAAGCGACCCGCTACAGAGTTTTTTGTTTGGAATATTGTTACCGATGGCCTCCATAGGACAGCCACGGGACGTCTGTGTCTACAGAGGGGACCATGGTTGACTTGCGCTACACCACCCACAGCTCCATCCATACACCACATATCCAGGGTAAACCCGAAGGAATAAGACCGGGAGGCATGTGGACGAGAGCAACGTTTCATCAACTGATCTAACCCACACTCGCTCAACGTGCACAGCAGCAGCATTCATGCTTATTTAATTTGGGAATCATGCGCAGCAGACGTACACAAGGCAGTGGCTGGACCGTACCCCGTCGCACACTGGATGCATGGACAGCCTAGCAGCAAGTTCCAGCGTCACGGAGGTCAGATGGAATGCACACTGCTGACGATTTTCGAAGCTATGTTTGAAGTGATGAATTTCTACCTATGCCATTCGACTCCCCCTGCTGCTCCATTGTAATTAGTACATAGACCAAACTGCTTATAATCCCGTAAGTTAATTGGTGGCATAAATGTGGTAAGTTCGTCTCTTGTTGGGGTGGGGTCTACCCTGTCCTCTCCACGGTAGCAGTGTGCAAATCAGTGGATGATGAGCGGCGCTATATCATATGTACTTAGTCGAGATGGTCGTTGCTGTCCCCCCGTAGCTCAATGGTCTCAAACACAGACTGGCAACAGTCGAGTTGCGGGTTCGAACCCCACAGATATCGAATGAAACGCGCACTGCTGATGATTCTCGAAGGGATGGAATAGCCGTGTAGTACTTTTCCGGGTTATTGTTGACTGTCTGACTGGTTCGTAATGTGATGAATTTCTACCTGTACCATTCAACTTCTAATAATCCCTATTTAAATTGAATCGGTCAGATCTTGGGTATTGTGAAACAAGCGTAAGTCCCTCTAGCCCACCTACGGTGAAAAAAACAGTAAATACAAAATCACTATCAGTATGAGGCTTATACCTCAGATGGGCTACACCGACTTACATTTCAACTTCATCTTTTTGTCCTGGCTCTAAAATATTTCTATACACATGGCGTCTACTGAGAGGAAGTCATGACCTCGGAGGCTAGCCACTATCATCTGCATTGGTAGTAACCTGGAAGATGGGTCATGCTATATCCCAGTTAGCTTGCAAATTGTGTAGCCCAGTCACCTTTCCCCATGGCTCATTGGTTTAAACTGCTGGCTAGTTGGCGTCAGCCTCTAGCGGTCATGGGTTCGATCCCCAATAGGGGACCGAGGGTATGCGCACCACTAATGGGCGTAAATAGGTCGAAACGCGTCTGGTGCTTTTCCGGATTGTGGTTGTGCCGTGTAGCTTGTGAGCTGCTGAGACGAAAACATTAACATTATCCAGTTCTGTTATTCTCTTGCGTATCCCGTGTCAAGCGGAAGTAAATCACCTTGATTACTATTCTTTTCACAGTCACACCCAGCCAAATAGCCACTTTATATCCGGAAAAACACTGCACGGCCGTTTCACCCTTTCGGCTGTACTCGTCAGTATTCCACATTCCGTTTAACATCTCACGAGAGAATGAAACCCGCATGTCTTCGCTTTGGAACCAGGGTTTCAGACCACCGGGCCACGGGGACGATCTTTGACCACAGTGACCACAAGCGTTTCCGACGTGCTCTTGCTAACTATTTCAAACCCATTGAATTCCAGTTAACGCCTTCGTTTTGAGCACTCTTCGACTGTAAGCGTATAACTTTTCACCACCAGCAATGACGAAAATTTTCGTAAAACTGTTCGCTTTTCCATTTTTTCATAATGTTCCCATTGTGTTTTCTAGGTAGAATACGTACACATGCTGAATGCTACCATGTGTGCTACCACTCGAGTGATATGCGCTATATTGGAGAATTACCAAACCGAAGATTGCATTATCGTACCAGAGGCTATCAGACAGTTTATGCCCACGGGTGAGTTCAACTAACGCGCTCGCGTTTACGGCCGCACTTTTTTTCTGCGCTTTTTGAATTCATCCTTAAGGTGTGGCTTTTCCCGACATTATTTCTGCTGGTGGCTACTGCAGACTCGCTGCTCACTGTGTTATTTCCCTTCTGAATAAACTTTCGGAAGTGCATACACACCTTACTGCTTGATATTTGCACTTCCTCGTGAGACCTTGATCGCTCTGATTAATAGTGAGTGGTATTTTACGTTGTTTTCATAGCCCCTGTGGGCTTCAGTATATCCTATTTTATACAGTATCAACTATGGATTTGAGTTTTGTGATTACTCAGGTCGATCGGTGCTGTGTGGGCTAACTGATGGTTCTACGTGCGCACATGCGCCAAGCTCGCGATTGATTGGTTGTACGGTTGCCGACCGATCGACAGTACTCATGACACCTGTAGGGAGGACGTTATTAGTCGGAATACACGGTTCCAACTGCGCCGTGGCTTTGTTCTGATTACCGTCCGTGCGTGTCAGTGATACTACTACTGAGGTCAGGTTACGACTAGGCCCACTGCACTTACTGATATACAGCAATCGGTTTGCTTGTACACATTTCGTGGCCAGGCAAGACGGCGACATTCATACAACTTCAGGAAGTCGCACTAATGATGTCACTGAGTCCTGGTGCGACACATCTGCAGATGAATGTTTCACTTACTATAACGGCTCGACATCCATATCTCTTGGTACGAATATTCTCAACAGTTTAAGGTAGTAAGAATGTTCGTGGAAAGTAGTAAGAATGATTAACTTTTGTGCAGAATAACTTAAATTCAGGTTACTTCGTGTCTTCTCACTCGACCAGGTGTACACGCAAGCAACCGGCGGATCATAGGAATATCGGCGAAAAAAATCAACATGAAAATCAATAGGATACTGAGAAATTCAAGGTCATCGCTTGTAACGACGTGATCTACACTTTATCCGAGCAAGGCGAGCCTGGCTACAAAGTCGAATTGTTTGCAGAGGTTTGGTTGATTGAAAAATATGAAAAATAATCTGAATTCAGGTCATTCCGATAAATGTTTCTGAAGGGAATTGGCTACTTGAAATTATCAGTGGTTATTATTTTCAATAATAGCGTTCCCCCTCTAGGATCTGCTGCTCACAGCCAGTCGCTCAGGATGTAGATCGGTGATCGAGAGTTTATAGAGTGAACGCTCCACCATGTTGACTGAACCGTCACTCGGCGATGCTTTGTTCCGTCTAGCTGAGGTCGTGTTTCATCATGGACTATTTCCGTTAATGATCTGTTCAACCATCAGTCCATCTTAGGGTCTCATAGCGTCGGACCATCACTAGTGCTCTTACTTCGATTTTAGCGCTGCCCTGGTTGTTGCCACATTTTCGCACTCATTTTCTGGCGTCGTCCAGCACTTATTCACTTGGCTTGACCCTCTTTTGGCGCCATTCATTCGTGACTGCCTGTTATTAGTGTCTGCGTGCAATAATCATTCCGCTTTAGTGCCCGTGTTCTTGTTAATGCAAACTTATCCACCTTCTCTTTTGGATTTAAGCCTATCAGGAAAGAATCCCTTTCGTCCAACCCGCACCAGTGTCCACAGATAAAACGCCGGCCGCAGCAGACAATATCAAAATATCCCATCTTCGTGAAGAGAAGATACTAGACGATTCGATACCTACTGGATCAGTGCAAGAACTGGCCAATCATTTACAGCATGTCAAGCTAGCTGAGAATTCACCCACCCCGCCCATCGAGTCCTTAGGGGACTCCCAACTATTATCACCTCAACTTGCTAATGGGGATGAGCAGGACCCTGTGGGTTCGGAAAATGCATCTCCGGAAACCGGTGACAAAAAGAAGAGGAAAAAGAAAAAGGCAAGAAGAAGCGGGGCTCAGCTGAGCCAAATCTAGGGACCTTGCTTTCTCTTTCTTCACCCCACCTTTGTTTCTTCCGTCTGAACTGCTGTTCCAATTTTTGAAACGCACAACATTTCTGTGAATCATCAGTCCTTCAAATGGTCTCGACATTTCACTTTTTCCGTTTTAAACCATTATGAGCACTTTTTGCTCGATATAGATGCGTTGTCACGGAAATATTTGACCAGTACTCGTTTTTCCTACTTTTGGCAAGTAGCAATGTGCCAACCTGTATTTCCAATTTCACCAAATTTGCTGGAACTGTCTTTATACTTGCCATCTTGGCTTTACATTGGGAGACGTTTCGATCGGCACAGCAGGGTGACTTTACTCATGCCCTTTGTATTCGCATGCGAATAACGGATTATCCAGAAGGGTTTCATCCGCTTGAGTTGATCGATTAAGCTATATCCACAGAAGTTGGGAATTCATTTGCCTAGAATGAAGTTACCAATATTTAGCAGGTAAATATTGGGTGTAGCCTACCCTAAAGCATAGCGTTTCACGACGCGTTCTGACCTTTTATCTCATTAGGCGCTCAATTCCAGGTACCTAATATGGGTTGCCGGATAACACATACGCCTCTGCAAAAGTCGAAGGGTCGCATGGAAAGTAGCGATGAGCAGGCTATTGCTTCACATGTTTAATACTTCAAACATTAAAAATGAGAAGAAAAGAGAAGATTCGGCATGTGAAAAACAAACTGAAAATGCTTTATTCTGCTTTCCGTCAAAATGTTCCATTCTTCTTACGGCATATTAGCTGAAGTGTGTTGCTCACCTTCAACTACTATGCCACGGTGATTATGACGCAATGACTTCCACTTATCCGCTAATTTCCATGGTTTTTGTTGGTTCTGTGTCTAGTTGCTGGACTGCTGAAATTACATACAACACAATGGGTGGGGCCAGTGGGAATTCCTCGCAAGGAAAGAACATAGGAAGCAGTCCGTGGGTGGGTACTGAACAGAGAGCAATAGAATGATCTTTCATCGTAACCAGACTTTAATTTCAATGCTGGGGCGCTTGAGGACCCGCTTTCCGCAGGCAAAACGACTATGTGTACAAAATCGGCTGCAAATACTGCGCACGAGAGCTACGTGCACGGATCTTCGAACAGCAAAGGCACGTTTTATGACCGCCAAGTAATGACCTTGTATACGGAGCTCTGTTAAGACATTCTGCCGCAACTGTGCGTACGGCTGATAGGACATCAGCTCGATTTGGATAATGTCGAGATCCTTAGGATCGGTTGGCTAACGAAGCCCGAGAGGTTAATTGCTAGGGCGATCGCAATCCCTATAGCCAGTTGGTGTATTCTTTAGTGTATCATGGGACAAAAGGTACAAGATTTACAAGACCATCAGCATGGCAGTGCAAAAGAAAATCAGCATGGAATGCGAGATGTCCATATATCATACCATTTTACATGCAAGTTGGTGGCTAGTGCAGTGAAGTTGGTTTGTTGACCAACCAAAATAATTTGTTACTCCTTCCACTTGGTAGACCATAGACTGCAATGCATGGGGGTTATTTACGAGCGGATACCGTCGTGCTTCTGCCTCATTGGTCACTCGCCGTGAGGCAGTTGCGCCAGGGGATATCGGTATAGAGATAAGTGTAGGTATGTATCTGGCACATGAATGTAGGCCTGACAAACTCAAGCACGTCGTCAGGGGGTGAGAATATTAATATCTGAAGTCACCAACTGCTGGTTAGAATGGAGCAGGGCCAATATGTTCGCATTCTGTCACTGCAGGTAATCGGTGTCCCTGAGCCAGCTGTCTATGTGCTTGTCCGTGCAAACTATTGCGTGCCTTGGACGGACACCTTGTTTGCGCGGGCTGACAGACACAAAGAATCGGTTGCACATAAAATTGCAACTTCACGGTTGCCTATGATCCGACCGCCAAATTGCATGTGAACCAGTGCATGTTACCAAGCTCACTGATGTGATGACTGGTGCGCACTAACATTCAATAAAGCTTGTATGTCTCGGCAGTGCGAGAGACCGCGCAAACTTACAGATCAAATGGTACACAATAATGTTTCACAAATTATGTCTTCCAATCTAGGTTTATTGATAACTCACTCCAGTATGTGCTGACTAATGGAAGTAATTTAGCACACTAGAGAGAAGTGCTGAGAAGAGGATTCCTCCTATCCATACAAGCACATCTATCGGTCAGCTATCGGCACTTGGTAATTATGGTTGTTGCACCTTTATTTTGGTCTTGTCGATGATTGCAAACAAATTCCGTTGTGGAATGTGTTCCACAAGACAACACTTGACAACATAATTGTCCCATCATGTTTAACTTGCAGCAACTCTCACAATTAGCAACAGAATGCCATAAATGACAAGTCTTATCTTATGCAATGTTGACGCCACCCTTTCCCAAGGCTGAGATATCCACAGCATGGATATGATGTTGCACACAGCAAGATATTTCTTGACAAGCAGTTGAAACCCATATAATTTACCGCACTTTCGGATGCTTTGGCATACTTTGTTCCAAAGCTTGAGGTAAGTTGTGGGAAGAAAGCTCTATCTTCTGCTTGTTTTCATCCTTTGAATTATGATCCTGCAACTTGATTCAGCCACTCTGCATCATAGACAAATTGACCCCTGCAGTGTAGGGAACTGTTGTGTACGATTCTGGACAAAAGGCTTAATATCATTCTTCACGTTGAAGTTGGTTGCAGTCCAAGGATTGTACAGCGCACACACTTGGTCAGTTTTATGGAGTGACCAATTGTCTTTTTCGGTAAAGTGGCGTAAGTTTCGCTCAACAGCCATTTTGTTCGACTTTGAGATGATTGTGCTCCTCAGTGAGCTGCACAACTTGGATCCACTCAACTGTTGAAGGATTATCCTCAGGCTCAGCATTAGTGCAGCACGTGTGTAACGCACTTACTCAGTGTAGCGCGGTAGTTGCCACAAACTCTGGGACTTAACATCACGTTTGAGCGGTGTACCGGTTGGTGTGGCCCAAGCGGAATTATGAACTGTCGAAATTATGCCTTTTTCGACCATGTCTTTTGACTTCATCATAGGCTCTCTAATACCGGATGCAATGGTTCGTCTTTTTTACAGACACAGGAGTGCCCTGATTTTTAAGCGTGACAGGTTCAACACGCATGCCACCTGAGACATTGGAACATTGTGTGACAACTGCACGAAGTTTTGGTTGAAGTGTGTCAGAAAACATTGACAACGAAATATTTAAAACTTTCATGCTCTTCAGGCCCATGATTCATGGACCAGATTCCGTGACAAGAAATGTACACTTGTTTAGATTAGACTGACTCGAACTACCGCCCAATCACTTTCCTCCCAGTTTTATCCAAACTAATGGAAGGTATTATCGCGAAGACATTCATGGGATACATTGAGCGCAACAACATCATAGTGTCACCGCAGCACGAATTCCACAGAAATCGGTCTTGCACTACAAACATGATTCTAGCCAGAGCAAGCTAGGCAGAATCAGTGCATGCCAGAGTAGGAGTTGACCTTCTCCAAAGGGTTCGATCGCCTGGACCACCGCGTTCTCTTTCACAAGCTTCGAAGTTATGGGATCGGTGACCCTGTGCTGGTTTGGATAAGCAACTTCCTCATTTAACCTCAGATGAATGTGAGAGTCCACAGCGCCATTCCTGACCCAATTGACATCCAATGTGACGTGCTTCAAGGATTGGTGCTGGGGCCACACTTGTTAATAGTATTTGTTAACGATCATGGCTCGTGTACTGCAGTCGAACTTCTTGATATTTGCTGATGATGACAAATTCTGACATGACATCAAGACAGTGGACCATCACAAGGTACTGCAGAGCCATCTGGATGGAGACTATAAGTTGTCATCCGAAAGCCGGCGCATGGTGATGAAATACGAAGCTGTGAGCATACGCTATCAGCTTACCCATGGATATCGACTTGGGGACTAGCAGTTGCAACATGGTTCTCAGAAAAGCGATCTCGGGATGATCGTGCAGAACGATCTTGGCTGCTCGAGGCAGGCTGAAAAGGCATCGAAAAGAGCCAGACAACATCTTGGATTCTTGCGGAGGGCTTTTGGGAATTTCGAGCCATCATAATTTCCGCAAATGTTGAACGCCCACTTGGAATATGCGATCCAAATCTGACGCATGCGCGACGTCAATGCACTTGAAGCTCCACAACGTAATGTAACCAAACTCGGTAGAGGATTGTTTCACTTCAGAAACCAGCGTAGACTGCACTCGCTGAGATTATGCAGTGGTGAATATCGGTGTAAGCAAGGAGACCTCATCATAATTTACTTTATACTGACGAACCCAATCCACCTTTGTCGCAATCCGTTGCTGCGGAGCCAAAGTACCAAACTAAGAGGCCGCTGGCTCAAAACGGCAACGTACTATAGTCGACATGGTTGTCGACTCAGCGTTTTCTGCTTCTTGTGTCTCGAATATGGAAAACCCCTGCAGCTCATGTCGTCCTTACCCCTATATTAAAGCTTTTCGAAAACGCATTGATGACGAACTCCCACTTGATTGCTTGCTGTAGTCCGTCTCGCTCGGAGGACGAAATAATGCGAGCCAGTCTATGTGCTTAACGGCACTCTCCGCAATGTGGCGGTAAAGAAACATACATCGGTGTGAATAGCTTGTCTGAGCTTAACTGGTTTAACATATCACATCGGTCAAATGAAGCGACATACGAGTGAGTGTTGTCATTTTCGTATTTTATTTTTCACGGGGTATGTGAATTATAACTACTCTCCATGCTATTTCCATTTCAAACTAGCGCTATGCATCAGTGCAGTTACATCGGTGATTTTTTAAAATGACGCTTGACTTATTCTTTGATCGTTTTAATTTTTACTGTTAACATCCTACTAGAATTGTCGAGCGCATGTTATTGTCACAGCAATTCGACGCCCATTCAGTGCCGCAAAACTGTGCCCAATTTAAACAACTACTAAATTACCAACGCCTCTGGTTAAGGTTGCG